CCGGAGCGTCCGCAGGTCTGTGGGGAGGAGGACAGGACATCTGGGACACGCTTTGGTGTCACTAGTTGGAGTTGGGTTGGGTTGACGGCGGGTGATGGAGGGAGGAGACCCCAAAGACCAGGATTTCAGGCAAATCACCCGTCAAAAGCTAAAACCTGGGAGTTGTGTTAATGGGTTGAGCTTGTTTCGTCCCCCCCACGTGGTGCCTTTTGGGCTGGAGATGAAGGGGACGCCACTGCCACCGCCCCGCGCCCTCACCTCGTGGCACCAAGATGTTGGCCAAGATGGCCAAGCCAGCCAGGATGAGGGCAAGGGACTGGGTGAAACGTCGCCCCACGAAGGTGATGGTGAGGATGGAGACCAGCTTGGCCGGGATGTCCACGGCCCCAAAGACGAGCTGGATCACATAGATGTTGAAGTCAAAGTTTTGCAGGTCCATGGCCAGCCCGTAGTAGGCGAAGCTGGTAGAGAACCTAGGCCAAGAAGAGGTGTGGGGGGGGCCAAATGTCACCAGTGGGGAGGTGCAGGGTGGGATGTGGGGGTCACACACCATCCCCTGGCCTGCGGGATCCAGCCAGGAGGTCTGTCCCCCTTTCTGGAGCGCATGTGGGCCAAGAGACCTCTCTTGGACAAAGTCCCGCACCGTGACTCAGTTTCCCTTTCCGGTAAGGACCCAGCTGAGGTGGGCGCTTGGGGATGGGTGGAGGGGCGGGCTGGATCAACACCTGGGGGGACGGATGGACAACCCCCCACCGCCGTCCGCCGCCGCCGGGCGTACCACACGAAGCAGAGGCAGCAAGAGATGCGGCGCACAATGGGCGTCCGGACCAGGTCAGCTACCGTGTGGCGGCTCTTCGAGGAAACCATCTCCTTCTGCATGTAGGACCTCAAGGCCTAGAGGGAGAGGTGGGGCCCTGGGGTGGGGACAGGGCCCTGTGGTCCCTCTTCTCGCCAGGGACCCAGGGGTGGAAGGAGCAGAGAGGGGAACCAGGATGGAGCTGGGGCGGGGGGGCTTAAGCCTTGGGGAGGTGGGTGGGAGGAAGGACGGAGGGCTGGACAAATAGATGGTCAGATGGATGGAGATGGGGGACGGAGATGGTGGAGGTGGAGATGGAGATGGTGGAGGTGGAGATGGTAGAGATGACAGAGATGGACAGTTGTAGAAGGGAAAGGGTGGATGGTTGGATGCAGATGGTGATGGATGGACAGTTGTCTATG